CACCCATAATATAATTTCATGGGTATTTTGTTAGGTATATCATGGTGTGTGTAGCTGTGTCAAACATTTACAAAATGGCAAACGTAGCATTGTGATCTATGCTTTAGCAAGTTTGACACATGTACAAAAGGTTCAAAGCTTAGATGGCAAATTTGCACCCAATTTTGTAGCAGCTGCTACATTTATTAAATATTTAAATATATAATCCTTACTCCTATACCCACCCTGTCCCCATTTCTGCTTTCGGGCTAATTTTGACAATAATTCATGGAAAATATGATTGTGTTAGATTGGGTAATGGATAGGCACACACAGGCTTAATGATAAAAACAGCTCTTTAAGTACAACAAGTGAGTACAATCCAGCGAAGGTTGAGTCTGACAGCAGCCCCTTTATAGGGAGCTGTCAGACCCTTTGACCAATAGGATTAAACCTCTGTTCCCACCAGAACAGAGGACCTTGGTGGAAACCACTGTAGTTAGAACTAATATCTAACACCCCTCCCCTCTTGGTTGGAACAATCCTACTTGTAACATAGTCATGCAGGTAGGCGGGCTTTTGACCTGCGCAGTTCAGTAGGAGCAGTTTCCTTGGACAGGTCGGATGGACCTGTTTGCTCCACAGCTCCGCTTGGTGGAAGCTCCTGAAACCTTTCACAGGCCGCGGCTGGAGCTTCTAGAGTCAGTTCGCTTGGAGCTCACTGCGGACCTGCAACATAACCAGATCAGTCTCCTGGTACCCTCGGGTTTGAGCTGGCAGTGGAAGGAGTGAGTGTTTGCTCCGTTTGGGTAGGGCTTTGACTAACTTGTGCAGGAGTTACCTCTGGTTCTCTACGAGTAGAGTTGGAGAGGTGGCCACGGAGTTGGTCAATATGCCTTCTCCAATTCCTACCATCCTTGAGCTCTAAGAGGTACGAGTGAGGGCCGGTGATGCCTATCACTGTGGCATGAATCCACAGAGTTCCCCTGGCATAGTTGTGGGCGTATACCGAATCCCCTACGCTAAATGTCCGAATCTTGCTTGTGGAGTCTGAGGCGATGGGTATAGCTGGTCTAAGTGGGACCTTAGCTGACAACCCATGAGAAGCTAGGAGGAGCTTCTCCCTGTTGGGGCACTGGGTGTGATGTGCTGAATTAGCAAATAGTGGTCAACCCGTGTTTACCAATCTCCCGTGCCCATCCTAGAGAGGGCCTCTTTTGCAGATCTAACCATTCTCCCCACCTGACCATTGGAGGCCGGATGGAATGACGCGACCAGGGCATGCCTGATTCCCTGAGCTGCTAGGAAGGTCTCAAATTGCATGGGTGTGAATTGGGACCTGTTGTCAGAGACCAAGACGTCGGGCAGGCCGAGCGTGGAGAAAAGTCTCTGTAGCACCTTGACGACCACTTCTGCCATGGTGGAGGTCATCAGGACTACCTCTAACCATTTCGAGTAGGCATCTACAACTACGAGAAATGTCTGGCCATGAACTGGCCAGCAAAGTCAATGTGCATCCTAGACCACGGTACTTGAGGTCGCTCCCACTCCTTAGTGGGTGCCTCTGGGGGAGTTGGTTTGGACTCCTGGCACGGTGTGCAGGTAGCCACCCATTCTTCAATCTCCCTGTCCATGTTAGGCCACCACATGTAACTCCTAGCCAAAGACTTCATCCTGACAATTCCAGGATGCCCTACATGTAAAGCCTCTAATACTGCAATGCACAGTTTGGGTGGAACAACTACCCGGTCCCCCCCCCTCCCAGTAAACAACCGTTAACAACCGATAACTCCTCATGTTTGGCAAAATACATTTGAAATCAACCCCAACAGGCCCCTTGGGCCACCCCCTCCACACGGGGAGTTTCCCACTGAACTGCTTGAATTTCACCTGAAAGGTGCCTTGGCCCATGATGGGGACCTGGTTTCCCTGGTAATCACGTAGGTGGATGTCAGGGGTGCGTAGATGCTGCTTCTTTAGACTAGGGATAGTCTGCTTTAGGGTAGACCATGGCATGATGGTCAGTGATGACCCAGTGTCGATCTCCATCTCAAATGGAGAGTCCTCGTTGAGGACTGTGACCTTCAGCTTTTTTGGCTGCTTGGTGCGGACTTGGCCAATTGACGTATGGTAGGTGACTCTATTGTCGCCCTCTGAGGACCGTGGTGGCTTCGGCCAGGCCCCTGGATTGGGCCTCTGGTGACGGCTTGGTGTGCTTCTAGGCTGCCAGGTAGTGGCAGGGAATTCACCTTGGTGAAGTGCCCCTTTCGCTCACAGCGCTGGCAGGTTGCGTCGCGGAAATGGCAAGCCGATCTGGCATGGTCTCCTCCGTAGCTAGCACAAGGTGGGAGGCGTGATTTGAATTTGTGTGCCGACTGGGTGTGGCTACTGCGCATGCAGCAGCTGTCATGTTCCTCACCTTCTGAGCTCTCGAGTTCTGCAACCTCACGATGTACACATGTACTCTTTCACACATCTTGTGGAACGCTTTTGCAGAGTCTCTGTAGATTTGGCGGCTGATTCAGACACCCTGGCCTTGTCCAAGGCGATCTGCAGAGTGAGGCTAGATTTAGCGAGTAACCTCTTCTGCAGGGTAATGTCCCGCATGGCGCAAATTATGGTGTGCAGAATCAGCTCATCCAGGTCTCGGAATTTGCAGTATGTTGCAGCCTTGCGAAGCGCTGCAAAGTACTCATTAATCGACTCGGCCTCTTTCTGATTCCTGATGTTAAACTCATGCCAGCGAACATGCTTGGACGGCTTGGGTACATAGTGGGTTGTTAGCGTCTGCTGCAGCATGGATCAGGCAACTGATTGAAGCGGTGTCAACTCAGAGAGGTTTTTCGCCATCTCGAACACATCCCGGCTACAGTATCCGAGGAACATGTTCTTCTTGTGGCCTTCAGGAAGGCCCATGAGGTTGTTTGCCTCAAGGAAGCAGTCAAATTGTAGCATGTATCATTCCCAGTGCTCGGTGACTGGGTCATACGGAGTCGGTGGGGCATGTATAGCCATTTTGTGTACAGAGAGCAATTTGAGTTTGCCACTCAAGAATGGCTGTTCGAAGCTGCGCTGAGATCCGGGCTGGATGTACTTGCTGGGTTGCTACACTCTTTTTGGTTCGCCTAGTTGTCTTCCAATCCCACCTTCGTCGCCAGTGTTAGATTGGGTAATGGATAGGCACACACAGGCTTGACGGTAACAACAGCTCTTTATTAAGTACAACAAGTGAGAACAATCCAGTGAAAGTTAAGTCTGACAGCAGCCCTTTCATAGGGAGCTGTTACACCCTTCAACCAATAGGATTAAACCTCTGTTCCACATGGAACAGAGGACCTTGGTAGAAACCACTGTAGTTAGAACTAATATCTAATAGATTGTATGACTAAATGCAAAATTTTCTGCAAGAACATTTCTCATTACCACACTGGGAAAACTATATTTTAATTTAAGCTATTATATGTAAAGGGTCCTTTGCTATCCATGTAGCCAATTCCCTTCTTCTTTTTGTGCTTGCTGTAGATGTTGAAAACCCTAGTTAAAAAAGAATGTCTCATTTCATCTTTTGGAAAATGATGGTTTCCAGGTTCAGAATGTAAACATAAACAAACATGAAACAATTATAAATCTGCATTATTCTGAGCTTGGAAACATAGTTTTGCAAGAGAAAAGTCTAGCAGTATCCATGAACATTCACTCAGAAGACATGATAGAAAATTCCTTAATTTCACAATATATGGACAGATTTAACAATAGTTTCAAGTAGGAAAATGTGAACATTCTAGACCAAGCCAAGTCCAAACCTGCTACAAAATTCCTGGAAGTCTGGCACTCTGACAAATTGGCCAACAACAGGCACATAGATATTAGCAACATCTACGTACCATTCAAAAGAGACAATCAACAAGCCAGAAAGGAAACAAAAGAAACAAAATACCTCCTCACCAGCAATCAACACCCAGATTAGTAGAGATTAATCCCAGGATTAATTTTACACTAACAATCAAGAAGCAAGGAATACCTCAATCAAGGAACTGCCAAACAAGCTAACTTTAAACAGCTCAAACAAGGACCATCTAGACCACTCCCATCAATACTGACAGGGCAAGCCATTAGAATATAAAACAAGAGCAAACTCCACTCCTTAGTTTTGGCAATGAAATATCTGCAAGAAAACAACCAAGCTCAGAGAGCAACTCATGGCTTTATAGTTTAAGTATCATGGGAAACACTGGTTCATTGCCCCCTTCTAAGTTTAAAGGCCTTCTCAGTATAGAAACTTCTACTTCTCATCATAAAAAAAAAGAATGCATGTACAGGTGAGATATTTTTGTACAATTGTTTAAATTGTAAACTCACTTAAACTCAGCCATTGTCAGCTGTATTCACAGATTCTTGCTTGCAGTCAGAAAGAAACAAATTCAATTGCATGTATGATGCATTATTATCTGGATCCATGTAAACATTTAGAAAGTATATTTGAGAAGCTACAAATAAGCTTGAGAGACAAATAAAGCTCAAAACCTTTTTAGGAAACAAGTAAGTCTCTTTATACTTCTTTGGCTTGTTCAATTTTAAAGTTCTAGAGGAAAAATAGTTTATAGTTTAAATGAAATTTATGTGCTCTGTTGCACAAAGACAAAATCTGAACAAGGATCTCTACAGAATTTCTTGGGATTACAAAAAAAAAAATGCTAGAACCAGTCCATTTCTCTGTTTACAAAGAAGCCAGGTGCTACTTTTAGTGTAACAGCAAAAGAATTTCAAACTGTGGCTAAAATCTTTTAACATTTGCCTTGTTGCCCAAGCCCTTGTATGTTTCTTCTGCAATAAATCCCACTGAACATAGCAGGATTTCATTCCCTGTGCTTAGGACAGCATCATTAACAAGCCTAGAAAAAACCAAGGTTAAATAAATGAAGCTAAAGATTTCTAAGCTAACCTCAACTTTTTTAAAATCTTAAAAGATTTAAAAGTTGAAAGTAACCGCAGCTATAGTAATAACCAAACACCAAACTTACAGTCATTTCTCAGGAAGTTATTGAGTAACTGGAAAAGAGGAAAGCTATCCCAGCTATCCTGTGGCTGTGCCTCCAGTGCAGAATCCATGTCAACAGTAAAAAGAGACCAAAACTTCTCCCCATGTTCAGCCAACAGATCTGGCCACCATGCAAAGGCCTGCATCATCAATTAAAAAAAACAACAACACCTCAGTTGCATTCACCTCCAAATGCGAATGTAAGGTATGATGAAAGAAAGTATAAAAATGGTACATCCATGAAATTATGGAATGTGGCATACATTCTTTAAAAGCAACTGAAATTCTTCATTAAGTAAAGTTGAATTTTGCATCCAATGCAATTTGCACGTGTATATAGTATTTCAGTGAGAGTGTGGTGTTTGATTAAACAATTTGATTGACAGATAACCTAGGGATCTGATTATGTTTCCATGATAATGTGGGACACTGGTTTTTTATGTTACTGTAGATATACTAATAAATATGAGAGCTAATGTAAGAGGCATGATATCCTATGAGAAAACACATAATGACTATCTTCAAAATGACTTAAGATGAAAAACAGACATTCACCATTTAGCATATGAATTAAATGTTTCTCTTTAAAATTGAAAGCATGAAAGTGTCTCTTCATGTATCAGACTGGTGAGGAAGAGTTGATGTAAAGCCCTTCTTCTGTGTATGCGTGTCACACATACAATTGGACAGTTACATTAACAGCCAGTACCATCTAAATTCTATGATTGAAGAAAACAACTCAATGTTTTTTAAACACACTTTTAATATTAAATTGGGTTTTTAAATTCCCGCATACATGAATCAGCTTTCCATACATTTGTTTTTGCTTTTGTAAAAAACTCTAGGGCATCTCTGTTAAATGGAAATATATATAAACCTTCATAAATGAAAAAAAAATCACTAAAGCACTAAGTTATCTTTAGTACTTTTTATGCTTTGATAGTATATTTTGATATGAAGAGAATAACTGCATATTAAAAAAAGGATAATCGTGGTGATTTAGACTATTTTTTACAATAATTTGATCATTGTTTAGTTTTCTGAAAGGTAATGGGAAAGAACTTATTGTAATTAATAATTATAGTGCTGTGAAACTCAGAGATCATGATTTCTTTCCAGCTAGCACTCTCAGATAAAATGATATTAAAATGGAAATAAATTAAGAAAGGTAATGCATGGCAGATTCCAATAAATCACATTCAATAGCAAAAGTAAAAATTCCGTGAGTCTCTTGATCATACTCTGATCTACTGATGCCTAGGAATAAAGTCATGAAGAAAGACTAATATCACGGAGAGCATGATTCTGTCAAGAATAATATAAAACAACATGAAAATGAAACCAATTACTGATTAATCACACAGATTCTAAGTGGAAAAAGAAAAAAAATATTGTATGAGATATGTCTGATTACATGACTATTATTTCTAATTTATATTATATAATAAAGCAACATATATTTTATGTACTATTGAATTATAACATTGCAATATTCAGCGATGGCACAATTAGTGATGTTCCATCTAAATCTGAAGTGCATAGATTTCTTTTTCTATGTTGTCCTCAAAGAACTTGCAATAGCACTAATATTTCAGAGTTAAAGGGCTTGTCAGATAATTCTTGGATGTTTTTCTCCATATTGCTGAGTAGCAATACAAATTTCAGACATATTAGAAGACTCCAGCAGAACACTGGTATTCTGTTTGAGCCAGAAGATACCTGTTTGATTGGAAAAGTTCTCTATTTGTCACACATATTTTATAGCCTTGAATCTATAACTTTACGAGTTAGATGAAAATTATTCCATTTGTATGTGTTCAAAGCTGGTAGAAAAATAACTTTAAATTAAATCTGTCTGATATCTACCTTTAATCAGCTATCTGTTGGGCAAGGTATAATTTTAAGATAAAGATGATACAGATGAAATAATTGTTGACCCAAGTAAACAAAGTGAATGCTATCAGAGAAAATAATGATGCCATAAATTCAAAATGGTTTAACAATGCATGGAATAATGACCAAAATGTCAGTCTTGATTGGGATGAATAACATACCTCTTTTCCCTGGAGGAATCCATAATTTTGGAAAAATTGTGGAACAGGAGAAAAAAAAGTTAACAATTTGTTGAACATAGCAAGATGCACATCCTTTGTCTCCCTTTTTGTGTCACTGTACAATTTTTAAATCTATATGCTTACTCTCAAGTATTAATGTTTGAACAGAGGCACAATATACTATACAGTATATACTTTAAAAATCAGCATTCTACTGATGCATTTAAATATGTTGGGAAAATGTTCTATTTTGTAGAAATAAAAGTATATAATGGACACTGCATTTAAAACGAAATGTTAAGAATGTATTTTTTCAATCATAATTACTACAATTACTAGTTATTCTAATTTAAATGTATAGTCTCGAAAGAGAAATTCACATATAAGCATTATTAAGTATTTACAGTGGCAATGCCATTGTAGAATGCCTCTTGGGAATTAATTTCAAATCTTTGAAGCAGCTGTTTCTTCAGGATAAAATAAAATATCCATAACAAGTTCACACATGACAGATGTAAGCTAAAATCTAGAACTGACAGTGTGAGGTAAAAGCAGATGTTTTGAATGATCATATTTATAGACATTACATCTTAGCTTACTATTTTGTGTTTCTCCGCTGGAGATTTTATATGTATGTATGTATGTATGTATGTATGTATGTATGTATATACATACATACATACATACATACACACACACACATAAAAATCTCCAGCGGAGAAACACAAAATATTAAGCTAAGATGTTATATATATATATAACATAACAGTTTTTATGTTAAAATATGAATCTCCAAGTAGATTTCTGCTTCAATAAGGCTAATTCATCAAACTTCTAAAATTTCAATAAGAATATTAATTCTATAAACTTTATTTGTCCACTGTGTTAAATAAAAGAAACTTTTTATTACTGCAAAACCCATGACGTGTTCAACAACTGAGATTTGGGAATGGCCTCAGCTTCTGTCCTCCCCAAATAACAAAGGTAAGTAAAATACCTTTATAAATAAGTAAAAATAATGAATAATAATGGCAGCCAAAGAAAGAGGGGAACATATGAATCATGGCCCTCTTATTGAATCCAAGTATCTATGTTAAGATAGAAAGCATTTCTATTTATATTGCTCTATGGTACTTATTTTTATTCCGAGATGAGAATCTGGAAAATTATTTGTGAGATAATGGCTAGCACCACCTTTTCTTTGCTCTTATATTTTCCTCCTTCCCAGCATTTATATGTCTTTTTTCTTTTTTTAACTATTCAAACCTGAAGGAAAATAATAATAAAAAATAAAATGGAGCAGGGCTTTATTTCTCTTGATTTTTCAAATCCTTCACAACTCTGAGAACTCTGCAAATGTAAATTGCTTTATACATATATTAGAGGTTCTATCTGTAATGTTTTTTGACAGAACTGCTTCACACCAAGGCAGTGCAGGGTGGTTATTAAAGCATTATTGTGCAGCTAATACGGTTATCCTCACCTCTGAATGATGTTCTTCATTCTGCTGCAGGACTTCAATGCAGAGCTCTGCTAAATGAATAACCTCTTCCAGCTTTACAGAAGGAGATGCCAAGTTCAGCGTCTCTGTAGTGAAAAGGAACACACAAACCAGAATGATTGTAAATAGGAGAGGCTGGTATGGGAAACATTGCAGATGACACACAACTAAACTATTTCAAGAGATTGACATTTAACACTTCAGGGATGCTTTTAATGCAAATTGTAAAATACATAAAATATTTAATCTGCTATGAAATAAGAGGGCACAGAAGCACTTTCCAATTTAACTAGAGCTGAAACTGCACTGGCACATCAGATGCTCAACTTCTGGAATAAGTAAATTCTAATCATTTCCAAGGTCACCTCTGCAAAAAAAGCAAAAGCTACTGGCTTGTTTATTTCTTCATCATACAATGGCTGCTAACATTATTTACACTGGAAGTAGAATTGCGCTCAATATGCAAAATGCTTGTTTTTCAGACAGTTGTGTTCCAGTTATGCACAATGTAAAAGTAAGACTAATGTTAAGCAGAGACCAGGACTAACATATTTATATCTAATCTATATTTAAAGGTAAAGGTTCCCCTCCCTCGCACATATGTGCTAGTCATTCCCGACTCTAGGAGGCGATGCTCATCTCTGTTTTAAAGCCAAAGAGCCAGCACTGTCCAAAGATGTCTCCGTGGTCCTGTGGCCGGCATGACTAAACACTGAAGGCACACAGAGTGTTGTTACCTTCCCACCAAAAGTGGTTCCTACTTTTTTACTTGCATTTTTACATGCTTTCGAACTGCTAGGTTGGCAGAAACTGGGAGCTCACTCCGTTATGCAGCAATAGGGATTCGAACTGCCGAACTGCTGACCTTTCTGATTGGCAAGCTTAGCATTTTAGCCACTGAGCCACCATGTCCCTAAGCTATATCTATATCATCTATATTTATATCATCTATCTATATCTAAGATAACCACATCCACATCTATCTATCTGTCTGTCTGTCTGTCTGTCTGTCTGTCTGTCTGTCTGTGTATGTTCATATACAGATACAAGAAAGTTTACCCCACCCCCAAAACAAGGAAAAATAGTAATGTTGAAGAAGTACAGAGAGAAAATTATGCTTAAAATAAATTACATTTAGTTTTGTTTGTTATTTCTGTACAGACAGTCCTTGATATATGACTGGTTGCTCAATGACTGTCCAGTTACAATGGACTCCTAAAAAGGTACTTATGACCTGGATCCAAAGTTCCAACAGCCATGCCCCCCCCTCCAGTCATGTGATCACATTATGGGCACTTGGCAACCAGTTCACATTTACAACTGTTTTCAGCAACTCATGGTCACATGTCCTAGAAGAGAGAATAGGTTTGCTTAATGGCTGTGGCATTCACTTAATGGCCATGGCATTTGCTTTACGACTACCCCCCAAAAAGGTCATAAAACTGAGCATGATCATGACCACTTAACATCCTGCATGACTGATAATCATAAATCCAGGCTCAATTATGGGCATAAATTAAGGACTACCTGAATACTTCCAAACTGAAGACATTTTCACATTTTGTATGTAATGTATATACAGATAATCCTCACTTAGTTTACAATTATGGCAGTGATAAAAAGTAACTTTATGACCAATCCTTGCATTTATGACCTTTGTAGCCTTGTACAGCAAAGGAAATCTGAAGTAAAATAATAAGGACAATCAGTTTCACTTAGTGACCATGTGGTTTAATGATCAAGTTGTTGGTTCCATTTGTGGTCATTAAATGAGGACAATCTGTAGTCTAAGGGGTATGTGCAAATGGTTGATTTATAAATATGCATATACATGTAATATAATATACACATATTCTGGTTAATCTTCCAAGATCTTTTGTTGCATATTATCTAGGTTCTGCTCTTACTAAGAACTAGTGATTATTCCCATAAACTCATACCTAAAACAATAAGATCTAGAGAAACACATCTACAGCTCTGCCCACCATCCGCCAAAATTCTTGACATGCTACATCAATGACACCCTCATCATCATCCCAAATTGAAGAAACATACCACCCACTCAATAACATGTTCCCTGAGATCAAATTCACAAGCAAAGAGGGGAACAGACAAAAGACTCCCATTCCTCTACATCAACATAAGTGGACTAGACAACAGAGAACTGGAAGCCCAAGTCTACTGCAAACCAACACATGGACCAGATCCTCAGCTTTGCAAGAAACTACCCCACCACACATGAAAGAAGCTGGGTCCAGGCCCTCTTCAGAAGGGCCAGGACACTGGAAATCCCCCCTCCCAATACTAAGAAAAGCAGAAGTGAAATGGCTGCTTGATGTCTTTCTCTATAATGGTTATCCCAAAAACTTCCAACACACTGCACCCAAACCTCAACAAACCACACAGCCAATCACTACGCAAAAACTAATCCTACACAATGACAGCCAGATTTCTCCAATCCCTAGGAATAGCAATAGTCCACAAACCCACAGCCACACTCCACCAGGAATTATCCAGAACTAAAGACAAGATATAGCAGGATGAAAGAAACAATGTAATCTACAAAATCAACTGTAACCATTGCAACCAATTCTACGTGGGACAACTTCATGTCAATAAAAACTAGGATCTATAAACACCAGCTGGCAGTCAAACGCTACGATCCTAAATCCTTAATCTCTACCCAAAGCAACACCAAACAGCACTGACATCAAATAGCAGTTCAATTGGAGCAACAGAAAAATCACCGATCACCCTACCACCCACCATGCTCGTGAATTCATCGAAGCTTGGCACTCCACAAGCGATTCCATCAACAGACACATTGACCTACAATGACTCATATTTGACATCACAAGACCTCACTCAACGCACCCACACCTGAAGCCCTTATAAGCAGAAGAACACTGATATTCCCTAAACTCTGCTGAAGATGTTACCTAAGCTGGTAATGAAATGTTCATTTGGAGAACTAACCTTCACCCTCATCCTGCCTCCGAGCTATAGATATTTGGCTGTGTTGCAAATGTTTGTAGTGCCCTTATTTTCTTCAAATACATTTGGTTATGTGTTTTTTTTAATTAGTAAAAAGTTGCTGAAGCAAAGCAGGATTCATCAAGCGATAAGCAGGCTGTTAAGAGCTCCATTTGGAGACATTCTGTGGAATTCACCAAGAGTTCTGTAAATGGTAGCAGTTTCTATTTCAGAAACTATGTATTATTCAGGTGATCCCATTCGTGGAGATTCTAATAACCTCTGTTTATATCAATTCATTATAGGAGCCTATACAAGATTTTCTTACTCGAGCTGTTTATTTCCAAGGAAATTAATATATAGCATTAGAGGGGAGTAGAAAAGTAGAAAAAATATAGATCACGTTCCTATACGATTAAAAGCAAACAGAGTCTAAACTTGTAATTTAATTTTCACTAGGATCAAGATGCTTTGAAAAGAACAAAAAAAAAATCTTGTTACAGAAGCCCTGCCTTTCCTGGAGGGAAGAACCAGGAGCACAACCCTGTCAGCAGCTCCCTTTGCACCACTCCCACAAATATCACTCAAAGCTATCACATCACCACCTTGGCTGTCTTTGAAAATGGAAAGTGACCTTAACCTCAGGAACATCACCAAGGCAACCTTCCTCTTTGCTGAGACTCTTGTCATTTACAGTACTCCGCGGCAGCACCAAGAGTCCACACACAAAAATGAAAAAAAAAAAACACCCAACCCATTATGCCAGCATTGTATGTACATATTAGTGGAGCAAGACATTGAAAAGAACTTACTATAAGAGGCATATGTGGATAGACAAATACTGAGACATCCAAAACATTATTCACTTGACCCACATCAATCAACTTAGCATATGATTTTTCCAATTCCTCTTATTTTTTATTAATAAATCATACTGTGGTAATAGGAGAGTGAACAGCTGTGAACAGCTGAAAAACTAAAATTTGGCTCAATTCATTTCTAGAAATGAAGACATTGTTAGTTTTCAATAATTTCAATCAGCTACTTTGTTTTTTAAAATAACTGAGTCCAATGTGATTCTTCTGGAAAAACATTTGCTTGCTTACTTGTCTCTATTTTTCATAATCTTGTAACACAATGTGCAGTTTCTGAAATGCATACAAATATAAATACTTATAAAATTGTGTCAATTAGAAAAAAAGACATAAACATGCCAACTTAGAAGAAAATCATTTTCAAAAATCATGCGCTATAGAAAATACTATTACAAAATAGTTTTAATTGAAAGAAACCATAATGCTTTTTTAACAGTTTTCAAACAGATCTGAAAAGCAACCAAAAAAATCTATGGTTTCTAAAACAAACAAAAAATAACAAAATAAACAAATTATCCATTCCCTAAAATATTTATTGTAGTTAATGTGTGAAGCAAAATCACAATATATGTGTAAGAAAATGTAATGTCCAATCAGTAGTTGTAAATGCAATTGCATTTTTCTTTTTTATCTTAACTGGCTTATCAACAGTTACTCTGCAAAGTATATAGTTACATACAAAGAATGTATGTTAAAAATACATATATTCTTTGTACCGGTATGTAACTATTATGATTTACTTTGTAAACCGACACTGGATTAACTCACCTTTCCAGAATTCCCCACATATTATATTGCTGGGAGTTTTGGTCCAATACATCTAGTTATCATCAATTGATGAAGTCTGGGATAGAATTTATAATTGCTTGAGAAATATAAGAATTTCACTTCATGTAATAGATACCAGGAAACATGAAAGAATTTAATAAGTGTTTAATGAGTTATATTATTAAGAAAGTGTCTCTGAAGAAAATATCCAGCTGCAGAGATTTCAAGAGGTCTACTTCAGTCCTTAAAAATAAACTGATATAGATCTCTTTCAATATTATATTTCATTGTCCAAGAATATAACAGGTAGATATTTATGCCAAATCTATTAACAGCCTTAATATGGAACTTCTCTATCTTGTCAATAACAATCGTTCTCTGATAATTCTTCTGTATATGTATGCACGTTTGGTTAAACGTTGGTTAAACAATGACTCACCATGCAAACAAAAGCTGACACATCTTCTACATGGTACAAAATTAGACACAACAGATTTCTGAAAAATTGAATTCGGTCTTTCCATCATATATACAGCTCCAGTTGAAATTGACTCACAGCAACTTATATACCATATTTATATAGGGGGTGGGGGGTTAAAAACTAAGGATTCTAAAATATCAAAAGAATATAAAACAGCACCAAAGAAGAATAAAGCTCTACCATTCAGATTTCAGGAAGAAGAAATCCACAACATTCCTACCTCCAAGGTCTGTTGGAAACAGTTTTGGATAGCTCTTATGATAGCAGGATAGAGAAACAATTAACCTGACTCTAAGGTTCTTGAAGATAGCAATTTGTCATTGAATGGACCTGAAGTGTCTCCCTTCTACATAACTACATATATAAAATGGACAGATACAATTGGGAAACAGATTGGGTTTGATATCCCAAAGATATCAAATAAGTAACTGTTATGATCTTCTCTGATTTGGAAGAGTTCGAGCCTCAGGTGCCCAGTGCAGCAGATTGTCAGGAAGAGGCAGCTGATGAAGGTCTCAATCCAGTTTATTTCATTCGTTCAATGTATAGAACTAGATTTATTATGTCATCTTAAGAAACAACCACATATCTATATCAAACTTGAAACATTAATATACAACAATATGTTTTGTTTCAGAACAATCCTCTAACTCCTATGTGTTAACTTGTAACAATGAGTCATATCAAAGGTTGAAAATATATCATTAGCACCTTTAAAAACAAAACAAAACAAAACAGAAATAATACGAACAGAAGAAGTTACATCAGATCCAGAACAAATTTTTGCCCTTTTCCTTTAATATTCTTTATACATCTCTATTTCTTTAAATGTTTTTGAATCAGAGGTGCTTCTATTTTCCATTCATGGAGTGCCTATTTTTTACATATGACTAAAGGCTACAGAAAATCATGATATTATTGCAGGTATTCATTCCAATAAGCACTGGATAGGGACAAGGTCTAAACTATTGTCATTAGCTCTACAAAACAACTAAGAATAACATGAGTGATGTTGATCTGCTGACCAATGTTGAACTGATGGTGATATTAAACAATTCTGGGTAGTTCAGATAAGCTATCCCATATTTAGCTAATCAATGCTACTGTATCAGATTTTATAGATTCAGTTGTGATTCTGATCTTTGACAATTTGCTCAGATAAGTCCAGATGTTTGCAAATATATACATTTAGATGCAAAACTAATTAGGAACCTTTAAATTGGGGGGGGGGAGGAGTTTGAGAGAAAAATGTATGTAGATAACCTGGTGATGCTTACAATGAACACACACACACACACATTAATACACACAGAAATAAGCAGAGATAAAATTGCACTAAATTCACATTTGAATATGTACATGGATACAATTAACACAACAGTCACCTGGATCCTTTCATTTTATAGCTTTCTTATAAAAAATGGTTGGGGAAAGAAACACAAAAGTTGAGCTTATTTCTTTATAAGCATTATAAAGCATTAAGTTCTTATTGTTTATTCTGAGAAGAAAAATATGTATCACTAAATGCATCATTTTGAAAAGAGAAAGTTTGTACAGCAAACAAGATGATATGTTATCCCCTTAATCAAGATGACTGAAATTTGATGGAATCACAAAGAATAGTGGCTTTATTTTCTATTTAATTAGCATTACATATGAAATAGTCAACTAATTTTATAAGGCCATTACTGTTAAAATACTATTGAATATTTTTTTCTGACAACAGAAAAACATTTCTTTCTAATGTTGCTTAATGGGTTCTTTTAGCTAAAGCAATGATTGCAAGAACCATACTATACCATCACCATGCATCATAAACCACATACCACATATCATGCCATGCCATACCAATGTTTCTAGTTCAAAGTCTCTTTATTTATTCAAGTGTCCCATAAAATGACCCTATTCTGTACCAGCCCAGTGTTGCTAGTGATTTCGGTTCTATTGGAACTCATATTACGATTTACAAAAGCGATCATTCCCTACTTTCTGTTACTACTGTAGTGTGATTGGCATAGTACAGATCATACCTTTATGGTTGCTCTCTCACAGCTTCTGCCTCATCCAAGAGATATTATGGAGATGGCTCCATAACAATAATACCATTAATTTTGATGGCCACATCAATATAAAATTCTTACTTACTGCAATAACACATTTTTCTCTTTGTTCCAAGGGAAAAAAGAAGGCATTTTCCTCCACCCAGGAATTGCCTGGATTCAGACATGCTTAATTTCAGACAAAGGTAGGATTTGTGAGCTTCATAAAACAAGACTTATGACTTATGAATTGCTATTTAATTAAATAAATGTGGTTCAACTGCAGAGAAAAAAGTGATATTGCTGATGATAATTCAGTTGGAACTTTAAAAGGTTCTTAGTCACACTTTTTGTGAGGAAGACTATTTCTTATATTTTCAGAATGTTTTAAAAGATATAAAGTAAAGATATATTTCTTTCACCTGTAAGCAGTGATTTATATGCCAAGATTACTTTGCTGACTTTCAGCCCAGCTTTGGTGACTTCTTCTAGAAACTTTCTATTTTTACACCAATTATTCCAAACAAGCTTGTTAAAAACTCAAGATAATTGAACAGCAAGAACCCCTGCTGTAAGCATGCATTGGATGCTTGCTGAAGGTGAAAAGGTAACTTTCTCATTTTCCAAAAGATCTACATACATCCCCCTTCATTTAAACACAACATGATATCTTAATTAATTATGATAAACTGGTTACTAAGGTGCCTCCATGTTGTTATTCCCATGATATAATACTGGTTGCTATAGTGATGAGATGGCTTTTTTTGGACTAATCAGTGAGGAGATTGGTTAACCCATGTTTGTCAGTGATCCTTAAGAATGAGAAAAATAAGTTAAAACAAATGGTCATATATACTGTGTGTATTCCTTTTCCCTGATTTTTAAAATATTATTCATGATTGCAATTTCACTTACACTAACATACATTGTAAGAAATTGAATATAAACTTGAAGATTCTACAATATTCCTTAAACAAAATTATAAAAAACTCATGATATTACTGCTACCACTGACAAGTACATAAAATGCTTTATATTCAGAATATTCCAGAGTAAAATTCCTGGAAAAAGCCCATGATAAGATTTTATTACCAACTTGGTACTTTTCAGATATATCAGATGGTATATTCAGCCATAATGCCTGGTTGGGAAAATTGATCTACCTAATAACACGTTATTGACTGTTGCCTTATTTGGATTTGGATTGATTTGATAAATCAGCTTCATAGAATCAAGTATTTAAATTTAGATTGATATTTAGTTCATCCTAAACTATAAACTATTTAGAGTTTGTTTTTCAAAACAATTACAAATGAGAATAAAGAAGTATAAACTAGCCTTTAGATAATATTACATACAAACCAGTGGGTAATCTTCAATGAAAGTTGAATATGGATGCAATAGTGATTTCCTATCAATGTAATTATGAGTAATTTGTCAGTGCTTCCTTTGAACTGTATCTGAGACTGATTTCCATATGCAAATGCTGGGCTGAATAAAGTTTTGTATCATGCAACAGTATGTGGATTCCATAGATCTTTGCCAGCTGAGCTGATTTACTTCATAAATTAATATCAGCCGTTGCTCTTTAAGGGAATATGCGGCATTTTCTTCAGAGTTGCTGAATGAATGATTGCCCAACTTGTCTTGCCTCTGATATCCCCCTTCTTTCCCTGGGAAGTCAAGTTTCCAAGTCACTTTGGTGATCTTATAAGTAGTCACTTCTGGCTAAAAGAGAAACTTTGTAATAACCCCAGAAACCATCTATCTGTTCCTGGAATAAATCTTTGGGTCTTATACGTATTATCATTCCACAAGCTAAGGGCCATGAATTAATTTGGCAATGTAGATGATCAGTTGTCCATTAATAAAATGTTATGTTAAAATTCAGTAAGGATTAGTAATAAATTATTGTAGATTGAAAACAGGAACATCTTGCTGTATGAAGCAACTGAGTTCAAATGTCAAGACTGGGAAAGAGAATGTCTATCAGAACAGGCTGATTTGAGCCACTTTAGTGAAACATAAAACTACACTTAAAATAAAGGACAAAGGACAACTTCAGTACAAAGCAAAGATCATTCATTCAAAGCATGGTCCCAGGAGGCATATTACAGCAATGAATAGGAAAAAGCTCAGTAGTTCACCAGCTGAGATTTTAATGAGATATTTCCCCTTGCTGTGGTTCAAGCTTTTGCTCAGCAAAAAGAAAAGGCTGCTCACAAAATGTATGCAATGAATGGGCACCAATTGCTTTTACAGCCACTACAGTAGCTGATCACTGTACTAACCTTCTATTTTGGCATAATCTGTAAGTCGAGTGTAATTGATCAAGGCTGCTTTCTCCAGACATTTTCTAACCACTTTCTTCACTTCTTCTGCTGGGATGGGAGTAGCAATATCTTTCATTAAGACCTATGCCAAATATAATCAGTTTTTGGTCAGATATGGTATCTTCTCAGAAAAGGAAAAAGGCACTTTTTAGAAGCTTTTGTAACTATTAGAAATCAAAAAGAAAGGAAATTATTAATGGATAAAAGCTACATTAAAACCATTCTTGAGGTCATAATGCTAAGGTCAGACCATTGAAATATTATAGGAAAGACTACAGTTATAAACAAAAGACTAAAATTATAAACAATGTAAGTAGCATATGCTCAGTTTCACATACATTAGGTTTCAAAATTGCAAAACAAGTTTTCTTTTTAAATTGCATATTGCTGAATTAAGGAAAAATAGTTTGTCAAGACATTTATACCACAGGACTGCATAAGCGTAAATTCTTTTGTTATAGTCAAAGTCACATGTATCCTTTCAATACAGGATCTGTATCTAGAAGCAGCGCAAGAAAAATATGTGGAGAGTGAACATTTTAGCCAGGGCTTCTAATTCTTGCCAGGGGTTTTCAGGGATCAATCCCACCAAGAATGCAGTTGAACAGAAGTAATCAAATGCTTCACCAAATGTAGCAAATTTCCTCAGCAGCTACAGTCTAATGCATATTAACCTCATATTAACACTGTGAGATTGGTAATTAAGAGCTCAATTTTATAGACAGGGATTGACAAGATGAGTTTACTAAGGAATATAGCTGAGTATAAGACATACTGGGACCAAAGCCTCCTGACCAAATTTAACTTTGCAGATAGTTGCCAACATTAAAGTTTTCGAAGAATTTTTCTTTCTTCAGAGGTTATTTCAGAAAGTATTTAAAGCAAGAGTGTCATAAATGATTGAGTTGGATTTATCATTTATACTTTTAAAACCCAACATCACGGCTCATTAAAAACCCATTAAGATTTTTTTTTAAAAAACCCACGTCTATATCATGACATTTTGTGTGTGTTGTGTGTGTGTGTGTGCTTGCATGCATGTGCATGTACGCATGCACACATACAATGTGTTTCCCTGAAAATAAGAGCTGGTCTTATTTTCTTTTGACCCCCCCCCCCAAATGGGTAGGGCTTCTTTTTGGGGGAGCCTAATTATTGACTCACCTCACAGTGGCAGCACTGACAGCCATGCCCATCAGGAACCCACTGCCGGCCCACTACTTCTGTGGCTACTTGCTGCCACTCACACACATTGTCCCCGGCCTCCGTTTTGCCTTTGGAAAAGCCCTCTACAGCCAATAATAGAGCTCTGGATTGATCTGGAGTTCTGTTATTGGCTGCAAAGGGCTTTCCGGAGGGCTCTGATGGCTGGGGGTGATGTGCGTGTCAATTTGGATTTCGTTTCTTGGCTGCAGAGGGCTTTCCAGAAGGCCTCTGAAGGCAAAACAGAGGATGGATGTGATGCACATGAGCGGCGGCAAGGGGTGCAGAAGAAGTGGATTTGCAAGGCAAGGCTGGTGTTGTGGTATGCAAGGCCTGGTAAGTAGGGTAGCTTCACCCCCAAATCTTCACCCTAGCTTTATTTTTACCTGTGCGCCTCACCCCCCCGCATCCTGTGGTGGGCAGGGTCTTAATTAGGGTTTAATTTGGAAGTAGGGCTTGTATTAGGCGCATGTGAAAAAATCAAGCTAGAACTTTCAGGATAGGTCATATTTTCGGGAAAACACAGTACACACATACCCCCATAGACACAGTTTGAAATGTTACAAATGCTATGAAGGAGATGATGTATCAGCTCATCAAAGCAAAAAGACAAGTGATTTGGGACTTTTCAATTTTTAGAGGACAATGGCTATTAAACATTGGTATAAAAATCTAATAATAATTAAGTGTGAACAGCACAGATCGGAGTAGAAATAGGCTATTCTGGTGCCCTCCAGAGCCGGACCAATGTCTCTGGAGGATACTAGCCTATGAATGGTTGGTTTTAGTTCATGGACTTACCCTCTCAAGCAAGGAAAGTGTAGCTTTCAAAGCTCCTTCAGGACGTCCGAAAGGAAAGCAATATCTTCAAAGAGACAAACAAAAAACCCCAATGTATTAGAAGCCCACCTTATATGGATTTTGCTAGATAATTTAATGCCTAATCCACCATCTTCTTTACAGGGAAATTTTTTTAGAAGCTATGTTTCTTATTGAATATACTAATCACATATTTTTAAATTTGTATTTACTTTTATTTTGCTATTATTTGATCTGGAGTTAGCTATGTATGTATCTGATTTAACTGAGCTGCGACTAAAATAAAAGTCTTTTTCTCTACAGATGTACTGGATAGCAATTATTTGTAACAGCTGCTACTTCAACTACAGATAGGAAAAGATACTAGATACTTGCTATTTAAAAAAGTTGTATCAAGCTAAATCAAGCTAATGATTATCAATAAATTATTGGAGATATGGAAATGATTTTTACCTTTTTCTTTCTTAAATATTAAGCTCTCTCTTTGATTTCTTTTTTTTCTTTTTCCCCCCATACTCTATATTAGTTTGTATTAGCTTTTTATCTTTTTTTAAAAAAATTCCCATCCAATTTCTTAAAGCCTCCAGGACTTGGCTAGCACTGCTATAGCATCACCCTGTTCAACTACAGAATGGTTGCACCTATGTCAACCTTCTAAAAGCCATTGACAACTACATCTAATGCTGTTTCAGCCCTGTGCTCCAGATAATCTTGTAGACCTTGAGATATTGATGATAATTCCAGGTTCTCTCAATAGAAGCCATGATGCTTTTGGTTGCAGATAATAGTTCCGGCCATCTGGAATATAACGGACTCCCTGTTTTTGTTCTAGTGGGCTCCATCTTTTCGTTTTCACTGTTATAAATACATTTTATTTTGTATAAATATGCAAGTCTTCAGAAAATTTTATTTTTCTGATTCCTACACTGTAAGATTCACATCTCATAGCACAGAGTCTCAGATCACCTCTCAAGCAATAAGGTACATATAGAATTAATTATTTACTCTGGCCCCACTTTTTCTATCATTCTCTATCTACTCTTTGTCGAAGAGACTGTCAACCTGTGGTCATGTCTTTTAGCCTGTCTGCACACATTCCCAGGTACATGGTCTTCAAGATTTTTGTTGATAATATATGATTCTCTAACTGTAGGCTTTGTCTATTCTGGTGAAGAAATATCTTATCTGTTATAGTATAAATTTTAATTGCTGATCTAGTTACATTCCAGCTCTCACATGTACATACGGAATATATGAGCAATACAGTGTAGCATCCAGACTTATATAACAAATAGGCCATGAAAAACAATATCCCTGCACTCGTCTTTCCCATAATAGCCTTAACAAATGCTACACAAAAAATTGTGGATTTTTGCTGAATAGAAATTTCCAAAAATTAGATAAAAGCCTTGCCATGATTTTAGTGGGCTACCCTAGATATCACCAAATTGGATAACTTTAGATACAACTTGTGACTGATAACCAGAAGTCCCCTCTAAAAAAATAAATGTGTTATCATTTTAGGAGCTCTTCTAATTTCTGAATCAATTATTTCTACAATGATGTTCTATTGTTTAGAATTTATTTAACAAATTGCTGTTACTTTATGTCATCTTTCAGCATCACTTTGTAACTGCAAATAGGCAGGATAAATAATTTAGAAATCATCTTTGCAAATTTATTAGAAAACTTTGAAATGAAATTTGGACAAACTTGTGTTGGCAGCTCTAGTAGCAGAATACGATTGTTCTTTCTTATTCTCATTGTATTTGCAATTCTGCAGATCTTTCATCAGATAGCAGTGTATATATTTTGTAGTCTCCGAATTAATTCAGTGAAATATACTCCAAGGCAAACAAGAAATGCAATTTCAACCTCAAATCCAGAAATTATCTAAGAATACCTGCACTTTCCCATGTTTATTCATATTTATTGATAAAAGCATAAAGACATGCTGATAATCACAGAGTTAAGTTTCAAATCAAATTATCCCATAGGGCTTCTTATAAATATATTGTTATAACATGTCAGTAAATGAAGCACCAGTTGAAGCACATATAATTCTAAATAATGAAATCCTGAAACAACTATTTAATTAATATGTGCAATTTTCTTTTACAGTGGTCCTAAGATACATAGTTCCATAAATAGCTTCTCTATAAAAAATAATTAAACATTCAAACATTTTAAAATGTCAACTTAGATTTGCATCTAATGAACATTCCTTATAACAAGGACTCAAAGGTCAAGTTTTATGTTTAGAACCAGGGCATCTACTCCCATGGTAATAACATATAGTGCTATGTTACTTCTGAATCATGTAATGCGTGATGAGAGCTAGTAACCTGCTCTGGTGGTGAATTCTGTGACAATAAAGAGAAGCTGAATCCTGCTGAGACTGAGATTCTAGTTTTGGATGGTATCTGGATCTATCTTCATTCAAATATCATCTGAGATATATGGGTATTCTAAAAATGTTTCTTGATGGTTTTAAAAAGTAAATTGCTTTAAAATTTGTAATAAAATAAAAAAGCCATATCTGCATTTTAAGTAAACAAAATGTTAGTGTCCAACCCTTTTTAACCACATTAATGATAATGTATAATAAACATCAAGCAAATATTTGAATTGCACTTAATTCTTGGTATGAAATGACCAATAGAGCCTTAATGATACCAGGTTCCTTTGTGTCGTAATTGGTTGCTCAAAATTTGCATCTCACTGTTTGAAATACATTAAGAGGTACAAATAAATTAATATTCTCTATTTGTTTCTTGTCATCTGAGAAGACTCCTACTCTCATATCCACTAATATAATTGTTCCTAAGACTTGGGGCAAGTGTCTATATTTAGAATTTAGAAAGTTTCACAGAACAGTTACCAATGGTGGACATGACCAGTCATAAGGATCATTCTGCTCTCTTCCAAAAGAGCTGAAACAAAATTCCTAACCAGATGAGGGACAGCATTTTTTGATCCTTTTAAGTCTGTCTTGACTGTTGATTGGATAAATTCATACAATTTCCACGGTAGCATTTCTGGAAGTGGTTGCCTTCTTTTTATATACTGTAGTTGAGAGAGAATAACTAGTCCAAAGCCACCTAACTGGCTTAGTGCCTAAGGCAGGACTGGCATTCATGTTCCCTCAGTCTTTAATTTGATATTTTTAACTACTCCACCAAACTGGCTCTCATGAGGGCAACTAGTCTGTGCAAAAGTGACATATGCAATTATTTTTCAGTAATAAATACAATATATTAACTATTTGCTCTCCCTACCAACAACATAGTCAAATATCAAACACATTCCACATATTAGAAAAGTTAATCCTACAGCTGTTTGATTATGTTCCACATGAATGCTTGTAATGGTCAAAATTTTAAAGAGACAAATTTTATCCTAGCAATTAGAACAAACTATGTAAAGACTCTATTTAGCAGGTTCTAGAGTCAGTTCCTCATTCTTTGTTGACATCCCCCTCTGAGGACAGATACTTCCTTTTTTTGAATAATCAAGTCTACCTTGTTAGAGACCCATTTCAAATAAACTAAACCACTATCATCATCTTGTCTATTTCTCAGCAAAGCCACTAAATTTTTTGGCTTTTTATTTTCCTTGGAAATCATATGAAAGTTGGATACTGGATAAAGGACAAAAGGGCTCCATTTTAAGGTGAGGAATGAAAAAATGAATATTTCTCTCTCTCTAGAAAATGGATTTTTGATAACAAATTTATTCCACTGCTAAATTGCTGTTAAAAAAGGTAGTGTTTATTTTTCTTTCTACAAACAGCAGTGGGGAACTGGCTACTGTAATTTATGTCACAGGATTCTTTTTCAGGTTTTATGACATGAGTCAGTGTCTGCTATTAATAATCAAGAGGCCAAACATGGGTTGGTAGTAGGAGAGGTAGAAAGAGAAGACTTAATTGACCTTAGGATCTCCAAGTGATTTGCATCACTGAACTTATTGATAGAATCCAACTAGCCAAGCATAAAAAAAAAATCCTCTCCATCTCCATTAAAAGGAAAATTATCATGATGGGTAGAAATTAGCACTATAATAATTAAACAAGAAACTGCACTGCTTATTAAGGGGTGATTTGTAGAGCTATGCCACTTGTGCTAATTTAACACAAAATCAGCATAGTTCACATGTGATTTGCAATGTTAGGTAGGAAAAATATTATATAGTCAGAAATCATCGGTATGTGATGTGGTATGCAAAATGACTCAACTGCTTTATAAAAGCGGAATATTCAAAACACTCATACAGGTTTTAATGCCTAACTCTTGCTCCATTGTTTTCTCACAGCTTCATGTATGTCCAGCTTGCAAAATGCAAACACTCACCTGAAGTGGCTTATCTGGTTTTCTAGAAGGGAAGAAAGCCTCTTCTTAATATCTTCAAATCTTTCTTTCTCTTCAACAGTTACAGTCCCAATTCCATCAGGCCTGAAAATTGATAAGATTTAAAAAGATATTCACATTTTATTTCTTAAAAGCATAATCACTCTCTCTCTCTCTCTCTCATATTTTTCTTAACTCATTGATTTTGAGATTCAGAAAGCACTTGTAGTGCACTAGTTATAGTTTCATACAACACTTCCAGTTTCAAAAGAAATGATGGAACAAATCATAAGCAGAATTAACATATTAGTCACAAAACCCTTCAACAGGAATAATATGATAGAAGTGTTGAACTGAATAAACTGATTACTGTATCTGGCAATTTTGCACAAGATACAAGAAAGGAATACAGTTAAAGTTGTTCAAGTGAGAAAAGCAATAAATCTACAAACAGGAAAAGCAAACAGTTTACAACTCATAGATAAATGAGCAGGGAAGAACAACAACCACAGCAAATCCCAGAAATAGAACAACAGTTAGAAAATATTGCATTTGTTTCTTTACAGTTTATATCACACCTAAAGGAAAACATTCTTTAACATAAAGCAAGATAGGTACTTTGGACTTTATAATGAGTACTATCAAAAAAAAGTAGTAGTGAATGTGGGCTTATTTATTTTTTTCCACTGCCTGCAGGTCTCCAGGATGTGTTCCACCATTCTACAGGTAGTTCTCAGTTCATTTAGGGACTATTGAAAGTTGCAATGGCATTAAAAAAAGTTATTTATGACTGTTTTTCATACTTGTATTGTTTGCAGCATCCCCATAGTGATGTCGTCAAAATTTGGATGCTTGGCAATTGACTCATAGTTATAATGGTTGCAGTGTCCCGGGGTCATGTGATCACCTTTTGCAATCTTCTGACAAAATCAATGGGGAAGCCACTGTGGCAAGGAAAGTTGTACAATGGAGCAAAATTCACTTAACAACTGTCTCACTTAGTAACGTAAATTTTGAGCTCAATTGTGGTTGTAAGTTGAGGATTGCCTGGACCTTGACTTTTTTTCGGCAGGTGAGCACATTTCCAAACAAAGCTTTAGGCTGCAGTCACTCCCCCCCTCCCCCCTTAGAATGCCAAAGGCAGTCAATGTGGAACTCAGAAATATTCTTGTAAATAAAGTTCATTTTTTGGTTTGCATTTATAATGGTCATGTATTCTTATTTTGGATTACATAAAACTTAAAAAACTGAGTTATTTATGAGATGAGATGATGTCTGGGAAGGAAGGAATCCAAGCTTTCAAGGTTCCGTGATTCAAAACCCCGAGGAAAGAAATCATGGTTTAAAGCACCAGTTGTAACCAAACTGACCTAAACTATATTGGGAGGATTTCTGTACAGGTATCACTGTACAGGTATCACTGGTGCCCATCACATCCTCTGAATTAATGTTTGTGTTGCTGTACATATGTCCTCACCATTGTCTTTTTACTTGTTGAACCAGGCAGCATTCCTTCAAAGGCCAATGATGGAGCATGAAAAATTGCAACCAGCTCTTCTTCCTTCTCTCACAGCTCTGGATTTTTGCTTCAAGGACAATTTTCCCCTCCCCCTCCCCAACACTCATATCTTTCAGTAAGGATGAGGAGGGAAAAGGAGTTTTCATGAGCAAATGAGGTCCTACCAGTGGGAAGTTATTATCTTGTATGTTGGAGTAGCCAGACTATAGTTCATTGGATTCATTTGCAAGTTCCATGACATACAGGTAGCCCAAAACGTCAATTGCTAAGCAAGAGTTGTTAAGTCAGTTTTGCTCTATTTTATGAATTTTCTTGCCATAGTTGTTAACTGAATCACTACTGCTATTAAATGAGTAACAGTTTGTAAAGTGAATCTGGCTTCCTCATTGATTTAACTTGTCAGAAGATTGCAAAAGGTAATCACATGACCCCAGGACACTGCAATCATCATAAATAGCAATAGCACTTAGACTTAGACTTCACAGTGCTTTACAGCCCTCTCTAAGTGGTTTACAGAGTCAGCATATTGGGCCTAACAGTCTGAGTCCTCATTTTACTGACCTTGGAAGGATGGAAGGCTGAGTCAACCTTGAACCGGTGAGAATTGAACTGCTGAACTGCTGGCAGCTAGCAGAATTAGCCTGGAGTACTCCATTCTAACCACTGCATGCCAGTTGGCAAGCATCCAAATTTTAATCACATGACCATGGGGATGCTGCAACGGTTTTAAGTATGAAAAGCTGTCATTTCAGTATCATTGTAACTTCGAACGGGCACTAAATGAATGGCTCTGAGTCAAGGACTACAGGTAGTGGGGATAAGAGTGCCTATCCCTGACAGAAACATTATTTGCATACAGAAAAGCAAATAACATATTTGTGATATATACTATAACTATAATTATACTAGCAGATTTTCAGCATGAAACAAAAAGTAGAGTACAAAGGCCCATCCAATTATATCATTCAATAATATAAATAAAATTTTGTTTGTTTAATTCAAAGGGTTATTTATGAATAAGGAGCATACCATCTCTTTCAATGTCAAGAATACCATGGAGTGATTCAGGAATTGGTCTGTGGTAGTGTGTGGGAATGTGTGTAATGGAATTCTTAGTCTTCAAAGAGAATGTCAGCTTGTAAAATATTATAGGATAAGAATATCTGCATGTTCTTCCAGCATCAGAGAAGTGAATAGCAACCTCCCAACAATCACAAGAGATAGTTAGCAAGAACATTAAAGAATCTACATACAAAAGAAACTTACTGATAATGATTTGCTAAAGTACATAGATTCAGTTTTCAAGATTGCGTAATGTAATTCCATATTTCCTTTCAATAAAACTTGTTAAAAAGACTCCCCTTGATTGTGAATGGCTTCTAAGAGCTTAACATTGCACCATCTTTTATATATACAGCCTGTATGTAACTGCATACATATACATTATACACACAGACCCAAACATAGACACAGATAATATTTAAACTTTTAAAGAAGAATATAAAAGCGGACACTAATATAAAGTAAAGAAGAAACATGAATAAGAAAATAAATAAAAAAGATATACAACCAGTCCTTGACTTACTTCAGTTAACCATGGTCTGGAATTTCAACAGCCTCAGAAATTTTCCACAGTTGCAAAGTATTGCACTACCACCCTCACAGTCTTGGGATAGCGATCTGGGTGCTTGGTAACCTGCGCACACTTAGACCAGTTGCCAAGCGCATGGCGATCATTTGATTGACATTTGCAATCTTCTCTGTTGGCTTACCCAGAAAGTAAAGGACAAGCCAGCAGAGAAAGTTCCAAGCTGCTGCCGCCTGCCAAAAGGATTCCCTTTAATTTTGGGGGTTGTAATTAATCATAATCATAATTAATTAAAACATTGATGTTTACTGTAGTTTATTTGTACATTTTGCAAGCCACCTAAAGTTCATTAGATTTCAGGTAAGACAAACTTATTAAATAAAATTGGCATTGTTACTGTATTTATTTTTCTTGAAAAAAAATACCATGTTTTAAAGGTGGAACAGTATGTTTTCATTATTAACTGGTTTGTTATTTCTCATTCTGAATGAATGACAAATTATTAATTTAAGGAACCCTCCTGACAACAACCCACCATCCCAACAAATCGCTAAAAATGGTATATCTCTCTTCTACTACAATGAAACAGTATATTTCTTCAACAAGCTATGGACAAAGTTTTTGTACTATAAAGCCAATATTAAAAAAAAAACCAAAGTGCAATTAATTGGTGTCTCAAAGCCTAAAATAGTTTTACTTCACCATGAATGCAAGTTTGTCCTACAGGAAAAGTGAAAACTCACTTTGAAGATAATGTTGCAGGCTTAGGCAAAGATGCACATCATTCTGAGTCCTTGGTGTGCAGCCATCATTGATAGGAGCACTATGGTAAAATACAAACCTTACTCCTGAACTCATAACTTCATGTCAAATTAACTCCTTTGCTTGAGAAGAAGATACTTGATCTTTCTTCTCCCTCCATCTCTTAAACTTGATATATACCAGTGGCTAGGTGTATCAACTCTTGGCTTTTATTAAAGTGCATTTCAAGTGTTACAAGCATTTTATATATTATCTCTCAGCAATCTTTACAATAACCCATCCAATTTCATTGGTAGCATTAGCCTTGCATTAAAGATGAAGGACTAAGATAATGGAAGCAGGACCTATGATTGTCCTCTAAAATAAGTTTTTAAAGTTTTCACAGCTCACAGACTCAGCCCTGATGCAATTACATACCTGCTTTTTTTTGTTTGTGTCACTAAAATAAGATTTATAACTTTGCAGTCAGTTTAGAATAATATCAATAGTATTGTCACCAAAAAAGTCAGGACAGCTTAAGCAGGTAAAGTGCTAAGTGAATATTTTGGCAGTGAAGAATCAAGCATGAGAAACTCTACCCTCTGGTAAAGAAAAAGAATGTTGCATCAAAAGGCATATACGTAGCTATTTCCTTCTTTTTAGACCATTTTTACTTGTGCCCACGCAGGTGAGAGAAAGCCACATTTCTTTGAAAATAATGTTAAGGGTTCAGTAACATCAGATAGGGCAAACCTCAGACATGTCACCATACGCTTTCATAAATGTAATGTGAAAGATTGAATAACTCCTTTCTCCCTCACCCTGAATGCCATGACACTTTATCTCAGAGCCCTGACAAATGGAACGTCCTCAGATTCAGGTGAATTTCCTGCCTAATTTGACTGTCAGGAGACATTGCACTCTGCAGTGATAAAGAAAACAATCTTGTCATATTAAACTTTGCTAGGGCATGTCTGCATCTGTCAGGAAACAGGCCAGAGGTCTTGATAATGACAAGTGAGAAAGGTAAACCCCAAGAATGTCACCATCTGTCATGCTCTCTCCTAGAAGAATTGTTACAGTTCTATAGAAGACCTCACTATCTATCATGTCATACAAAATTGTTGACATGCCTATGAAGTACTACAGAAGTACTACTGACTAACCAATGCAATTAAAAGCTGTAACTCATGAAAGCATCTTCTTTTTAATAGCAATAGCACTTAGACTTATATACCGCTTCACAGTGCTTAACAA